GCTAGGGTTGACACCTTACAAGATTCAATTCGAATGGGGTTTATTTTGCAGTTTTATTGATTTTATCACATCAAAACCATTGGTTTTTAATTTTTTTCCTTTTATGATATAAAATATTTGATTTTTCAAAGCTGTAATTTTATAATTTCAAACAAAACAATGTACTCGGCAACTCTAGCAGTTGTCTGCCAACTCTCCCTGCATGGCAGCAATATGCTGTTAAAAAAAAACACACATCTGAATTTTACGGTAAACTTAATTAAAATGCCTTTAACGAGACTGTTGGCCGTCGAAGAACTACGGAGGCAACATATTAGAATACAAACCTTGCAGTGCAGGCTTTTCAGATGCGCATCGGACTCGTTTTCACGTTCAAACGATACGTATGTGGTTTTTGTGATTCATTACAATTACCAATTTTTGGTATAATGATCGCTATGCTTCTATTTGTGCTGCCATGGGTCTGCGCTTAGCCGAACAGGTCTTTTTGACATAAATGCAATGGCAATAATGTGTAGAAATGGTTTGTTAGTTTTGTTTTGGCATTTTGAAGCGATGCCACCTGGTAGAACAAATGACTACAAATGTTTTCACAATGTGCACAAAAAGTATGCACACGTTTGATGTAAAGGAAGTTTTACTACAATGAGCTATTTTTTGTAATGCTTAATTAAAGAAAAACAGAATTCTTTCAATATAATTAATATTAAATATATTGTTCCGAATTCGACTTAAACAAGGTGGCATTACTGTATTAACTTCGAAAGTCCGAATCGCCCTAAGTGGCCACCTCGCTCTGAAAATTCAGTCAGCGGATTGAAAAATGATTTACTAAAATGCTTATTTTATTAACTTCACATGTAAAATGTTAAATTATTTGGATGAGGGTTAATCACCAATTGAACAACCTTTATGGGAAAGTAAGATTCGAATCGTTTTAGGTGTATTTTATGGGTGTATTTAATTAAATCGCTGGATAAATTGTGAGCGATTTTGATTCCGCTAAAAAATCGGTGTGTGGCACGGCGGAATGGAATTGAGGTGATTTTCCAGCGGAAGTGATTTCTGTGGCACCCCTGATTGGCAAAGATCAGCACTCCCTGTTTCATTTCATTGCATTCCAAGTCATGTACACATAAATAAGCTGATATTGCTGCAAAGAATGCTAAAAATAATGGCACATTCTGGTTGCTCGCTGGCCTCTTAAAGACGTTATCACTCATATTTATAATAAAATTAAAGAAGATTGGGAAAGAGAATATATTACTTACGCCACGGAATGAAATAAAGGTTACACAAAGTTATTTCCGTATATACGGGAAAAACCATGGCTTAAAGACAAAAAATGCAATCTAAGCCGTTTGGAAATCAAACAAATCGACAGACTACTAAGTGGTCACGGAATAGGCAAAGTTTCGCTTGATAGAATGAAAGTAATAAATAACAATTTATGTGATACCTGCAACCTACCGGAAGACACTTCGCATATAATTTTCAAATGTCGCGCCTATAGCCATAAGACATTAGACTTAGACAATTTTGCTGCGTAGAGAATGATAGCACTAGAGACAAAATGCAACAATATTGTTCGTAGACGTCTATAGACACACCTAATGGTTGGCAGTCAAACAACTGAGGGACTACTTGATACAAAATGATGTTTTTCAGAAAAACTCAGCCACCAAGCTAGCAAAATTGTATACGAAAAGTAAAATTTCCGATCAATTCTGCCGCAGCGCTGCTCCCAGCTCAACTGGACAGCCAGCTTGACGAATATAGTTCTCTCGCTCTTTATTTTTCCAGCTAGTCGGTTAGCAAAGTCTAATGTCATATGGCTATTTCTCTCAAGATCGAAATCGTTTTCAAGTTTCAAATCCTATACTGATATATATCGATTCTCTGAAAAAGAACCTATCGCATCTTACAAATACATTGTGGAATTCACACGCATCGCAAATATTAAATTGTAAATCAAGCACGCTAACCATTTACTAACAAACACATCATGGCATGAGCATCGTACATACACTTCCAATCATACAATTTAAAGCTAACATAATTAATCGAGTCTTTCAAGAACACAAACAGGAGGTGGCGGTAACCCGTTTCTGGGTTTCTCGTAAAACGCAAGAGTATTCTGTTTTCAAAACGGAAACAAATTCCTCGCTGAAATTAAAAGTAAACGGCTTTTTATACAACTCAACAAATTTTAATTGCAAAACGAAAAAAATAGATGACTTAGTGATGGATTGGCATAAATTTTACACCATTACTAGTTAAATTGAGCTTGTGTCCATTTTATAAATAATTTGTATTTAAACCAACCTCAAAATTGGATCTGAAAAAATTGGTCAGGGCAAAAACAAAAAGTGAATTCATCTTTCCAGCTGTGGCAGCCCGATTTGGCTATCGATAAATCTCAGTTAAACATAACAGGGGCCTTTTTGTATGAGCTGGGTATAACAGCAGTAAATTTGGCGTACAAAGCGTAAACAAATTCACAAAAGTGGATTGTAACGCTTGTAGCAGCATCAAGAGTGTTAGCGGGTGGCGCTCTCTGTCGGCCAGGGGAAGGTCCGGTGGCGCCCTCTAGGGCTCAGATTGGATGATCGGGTCAAGGAATTTTCGGAGGAAAAGAGAACAACAGGGGCAAATGTCAGGCCTTTCACTCACTGGCCCTATTAACCTTTTCGAGACCATGAGGTTGGCGCTTAAACGGAAGCGTCTAGCTCGGTCTCTCGCTTTTGGTCCCCCAGTCAGTGCAGTTGTGCGGAGTGGAAAAACTCCCTTAATTTTATAACACGCGTGTATGTAAAAGTAAAGTGCAAATTGACGGTGAAAAAGTCCAGAAGGAGAAGATTTATTTTGCGAAGAGGCGTTGAATTGGTGAGCATGGATAGTTAAAGTTTGAGGGCGGCAACGCCTAATTCCATCGCTTCGTGGAGATCTTGGCGCTGGTTAGCTGTCGCTGGGCCCAGGCGACGCCGCAAAGAGGTGCCCTCAGTTGGACACTGGATTGGAGGATCGCTCCCGTGGTCAAGGAGAAGCTCAATAGAGGAGTCCCGCTCCATCACCCATATAGGCGGCAGTTGATACGCGCAGAGCTCGGACGAGCCCATTTTTTTTGGTCTCCCTTGTGCCTCCCTATACGCCAAATACCAGCAGCGCTCGCAAGTAGCAGCGTAGGGGGAAAGGGGATGAGGGAAGATCAGCCGAAGTTCAAGCAGGCAGAGCTAGTGCTCAGCGGATGGCTAGTTAGTGCCCGTGAACCGTGCAGAGAGACAGCTGCGTCGGCGACCCTGCGCTATTGGGAGCGAGGGAATCCGCAAAGGAATCGCGAGAGACCCCCGTGTGGATCCGGACGGCGGGTGACCAGAGGCATACCAGATGCCCAAGAGAATTTTATTTTTTTTTGTGATTAATTTTGTTTTGTGTGATTTTTGCAACGTTTAGTTCCAAAGAAAAAAAACAGTTTTAAGCTTTAACGTTTTTGTTGGTGTCCCAGCGAGATTAGAGTGTTTTTGCAGTAAGCGATGAGAGCGAGAGGTCAGGGGGTGCGCGCTTAGAATATTTTCCTTCCATCTCGATATTTTCTCTCTCTCCCCTCTCTCCGTTAAGCAATACGTCGGTGAAGGCGCTTTCTTCGATGGATTCCTGACAAGGGTGAGTGCTGTTATGGCCACATAAGGCTGCATTTTATAACAACAGACCAAAACCAGCAGAAATATATTTATTCGCGGACCTAATTAATCATGCGCTAGCCCATCCTCTGCCATCAAAGTTTACGCGTAACACTTTTTGCATGCCAATGATCGCATGTCTGGAAAATTGTCCCAACAACGATCTGCGGTTTGATCATTCATTTGTATTTATTCATATTTATTTATCATTTGTTCTTATTTATTTATATGCATTCATTTTTGTCCATTTAATATTATTCATTTCTCGTGCATATCGTAGCTTAAGTATGTTAGTAGGTTCATTTTTATAGAATTTAGAATATATTTTATAATGTTTTAATTCGTTTTTTTGTTTGCCTTAGCTAGCACTCTCCCCATGTAGGCGTCCCTAGGCAGAAGGGGCCATTCCATATTCAATGAAGGCGGCTTGGAATGGCCAAGGTAGGGCGGGCGAGACAGTCTCATTAACACCAGAGACGGGACGAAACTCTTCGCAGCACAGACCCTAGCTTTTTCTTGTATTCAGGGATAGGTAGTATCTTCCGGTTAAGTTTTCGTCGTAGCACGCTATTTCATTTTTGGTAGGATGAGTATAGGCCACCAGCATGAGGGGGGGCAAGACCATCAACCCCAATAGCCGACGAGCAGAAGCCGGAAACCTTAAGCGTGCGCTTCCCCTCACTGACCAACAACTAGCCTGGCATAATTTGTATATTTGTGTTCGTGAAACGTTACAGGATTCCAGAGCGCCTTGAAATGAATAGTATGACTTTTTCTGAAAAGTAAAACGCAAAGTGAATGTGAAAGCCTGCCTGATTATAAAAATATACAAATAATGTAGATTTCAAATCTACAAATTATATTCTACATTCTGCTGCTTCGACTGCAGTTTTGATCGTCTGTCGTTGCCGAATTTTGATCAATGATAATATATCGCCGCATAGGTTGCATGCCGCCATTATAACGTCTTAACTCGCATTTGTTTTAACTGATTTTTTTTTAGAAAAGCCAATTAACCTTGGCGTCTCAAACAGTACTCGTCTGCTAAAAGCCTGCTCCTAAATTTTCTGGCTGGATGATTTTTTATCGTTTCCATACGAATATCATCCCTGACTCGGTCGACAAAAGATTTAGCTGATCTGAGTACTGAAGTTAAATTGTAACTTGTAAGCCCCTAAATTGTGACTCCCAGTGCAAATGCAAATACCACCTCCCTTAGTACGGTCCTGGATGGGAGTACATTCAAAAGTTTTCATTTTGTCGTACATGAACTCTGTGAGGTCGGAAACGCTTCACCTATACACTCTTTGAGTACCAGCTACAATAAACAGCCATGTTTATTTCATTTTTATCAAAAATCGATTAAGAAGTAAATTGTGTAGAGCTTACAGTTGGTGAAGCAATTGAGAAAGAGTATAAAATGTGTTTGTTACTTTCGAGCGTTTTAAGTATCTGTGACATAGAGTACATATTATTCGATAGCCAAAAGCACGCCGTGTGAATGTTTGCTGTCCTGTAATTAGGGAGTTTTACTCTGCTTAAAAATGTTATATTATTTACTTACTTAACAATTGCGTGTGGAAATATTTTTTCAATTAGACGACACATCATAAGATTAATCGAGGAAATATCTGGGTGTACCATGTCAGACTTGGAATTATCGTCCATTTTAAGTATAATTGTATAATTCTGCTCCTGTACTTCTGTTGGCCAACTCTGTATAGTTCCATCAACATCAGTATTACTTATATTGAATTGTGATTTTTGGTAGAGCACCTCCACTAGAGATTTTCGATCTGAAAGCTTAAGACTATCGATTTGAGCTTCGACGACATAGTATGTTGAATTCCTGCCCATTAGCTCCTGCCGCTCACCAAAAGTTGTCATACTTGAGCTGCTAAGCGTAGCAATACGGGGAACTGTTTGGGGATTCACTGTATTCGAGCATGTGTAGACCACTGAATAGCCTTGTCTGCACAGGGCTTCTATAAAATGATGAATATTGTTTTGGCTGATGATATCCAAGTGGGAAAAAGGGTCGTCCAGCAAGACTAAATCAGCATAGCCAGTTAGCGCTATAGCAATACTTAGACGCTTCCGTACACCAAGGCTGCATGAGGCAAGCGAAAATAACCGAAAATTGTATAAATTAAAGATCCTGCATAAGGCCAGTGCCACGTTTTTCACATTTAAATATATTAATCCACGAGTATGCAGCACCATTTCAATGGCTTCTAATACCGTCAGCGGCTCCACTAATTCATTAACCTGAGCACTATAAGCGGCGTGAATGCAGTATTCTTGTTGGTTGGGCTGTTTAACAAAGCTACTAATGTTACCCGTCTGGTGGAAGTAAATGCCTAGAATTGCCTTAATTAACACAGTTTTCCCAGCTCCATTTTCTCCACAAACGCTCCAGCCTTGGTACCTGAGACAGAAATAATGTGAAAGGGACTGAACTTCACACCATACATACCATTCGACCATGAAATTTATATGCTTGAGCGCCACGTTGCATCCGAAGAAAACTCCTAGATTTTCGACATGTAACGGTTTGGTTTTGATGGATTGACGTTCGAGAGTACGAGTACGGGACTTTTCCTGAATGCAGGTGTTGCCTAGCTCCTTACGCTGACTTTTGTGTAACACATTCTGGTCATACCGACTGTCTGGACTTAAAAATAAATTTTTCTGTTGATTTATTTTGTTTTTGATGTTGACTATACAACTTACTTAATGTTCCATAGATCGTTTCGTAGGCGCGGCTCATGTTTGACCCTTTTAAATTGAAAAAATATATAAATAAAGATCCACATCACCAGTATAAACAGATATAAGCTCATAAATGAATATAATATTTTGAGTTCCCGTGCGCTTTTATCTAAATATATAGGAGTAAAAAAAGCTGACGTATGTAATAAAATATAAACCATTTTAAGAATTAGTTTTTAGTTTAGCTAGGTTACCCAGAAGAAAGCATGTAAGTTAGCACTAACAGCAATACAGTGAGCACTGCGAGAGCGCATCAAGACGGTGTAGTTAGAGCTCAGCGCATTAGCAATCAGTTAATGCTGACTCGACCCACGATCAGTCGACTAGCAAAAGAGAGAAGAGAAGCGAACAACTCTATTCCACGAAGTGCAAGGTCGGCTGAGCTATACATAAGGCTCTAAGCTTTTCGGGTTCATTGCTGCAGTTTGTCAGGTTCGAGCTCTGAAGACAGATTGAGTTCAATCGGCCCAACGTCATTGTTTAACCCATCTTAATATTTATATAAAGAAAACATATAATAGAATTATAGTTAATTGGCACCCATCGAAAAATAACTTACGAGTGTGAACACAAGTCAACCTAAATATAATACAGAAAATATGACACACATTAAAATAGTAACAGTTACAAAATATAAAACTCGGCGATCGAACATCAAACTCGTACTTGTCGTACTGTCGAGGAGTGGTCGAGCTATTGATGGTAAAGTGAAGGTGAAACAGCTAAAAGGCTAGGCTAAAAGAAAACGAGAAGGAACGTGTGAGGAACGCTTCTGGGGACGCGACTCTACTTATACCCGTACTCAGTCAGTATCTATATTTTTGAGCATTATTTTTTAGAATTTTAGAATTGAAAAAAAAAATTTTACATTTTACATTTTTTTTGCTACATATGTTATCAACATCTACATCTACAATGTATATTCTACATCTAACATGTAGATTCTACGTGTACCATTTAGATTCTACATCTCCTCCGCTAGGGGTTGCTCGCGCACTGAACGCGGCAGAGTGTGCGAGCGAGAAGGAAAATGAGTTGCGTTGTCGTTGGCAGGAGAGGGCAGGGGAAGCAACTGAAAATTAATTTCTTCACTCTGGCTATAATTATGATCCGATCTGATTCAGATTCGGCAATCTGATAGATATGGTCATTCTCTACGATAATGCGTTTTTAGTTTTATCGTATCTTTAAAATTGTGCCTGACACAGATTTTCGTCCTTTGTGGTGGCGGAAGGGGCGGGTCGAAATTTTGAAATACACTATATAATCTACATGTTAGATGTAAAATATACATTGTAGATGTAGATAACAGGTGTAGCTAAAAAATGTAAAATGTTTTTTTTTTTAATTTTAAAATTCTAAAAAATCATAAGCTCATAAATGTATATACTGACTGAGTATAAGTAGAGTCAAGTCCCCAGAAGCGACTCACACGTTCCTTCTCGTTTTTCGTTCTGATCGTATTGGACATGCAGGTGGTGTTGCTATATATGTTAATACTAGATTAAAATGTAATGTTAAATGTAAACAACCAAGTGAATGTCCCATTTAATATTTACTTTTGGAAATATCAAGAAAATTAAATAAGAAAATATTACTTGGATGTATTTATAGACCCAGTAGGACAATTGACTATGAGCCATTAATTAATAGTATCTCGGACATTTCAGTGACATACACGGACATTATTCTGGCCGGCGATTTCAATAGCAATATCATGAAAGAGAGTTATCTATTGGATAGCTTTGCTTATCTGGGGTTGTATGCCGTTAATGTAACCATGCCTACACACTTCAGAAATACCTGTGATACACTTCTTGACATGTTTTTCATCAATGACCCTAATAAGACCTTACTCTATGACCAGGTATCAGTACCAGCTTTCTAAACTTTACCTTATTTTCCTGATATATGACTTGACTTTTGATTAAAAAACTGATTCTTTTACGTATAGAGACTATAAGAATATTGACCTTAATGAACTAGAACTAGAATATAATGCATGTGACTGGTCTTCCATTTACAAATCTCCCCATGTTAATTGTCAATTGAGTGTTTTAAAAAACAATGTTCAGTACCTGTTCAATAAGTTTTTTCCTCTAAAAACCAAATTAACCAACCTAAGACAAAAACAAGGGTTTAACAGTTAGATAAAAAATCTAATTTCATCAGAGAGACAATGCTTTTCTTAAATGGAAGCGTTATAAAACAGATGAATTTCGTTTAACATACAAACGATTAAGAGCAATAATTACCAAGGGTATAAGATCTGCAAAGTGTGACTTCTACAAATCTAAATTTCAGAACTGTATGAGGTCCTATCTCAGGCTGAGGTATGCTTCAGTCTGTCCAGGATCCGCTACAAGAAAATTTGTAGATCGCAGGTGGCTTCAGGTGTCGGGCAGTCTTGAAATGCAGTAGGCAAGGGAGAAATGATGACGCGATCGTTTTGTTTTGTTTGTTCTTGATTTATTCAGTACTTTTCGTTCACTTATTTATTCACGTTGTTGCTCTTGCTTTCGGCTGTGTGGTGCGCTGGTGGACTGCGTAGTGTGGTGTTTTGCGTTTGTGACTGCCTAGTGCAGTGTCTTGTGTTCTTGGCCTCTTTTGTTTTCGGTCTGATGTACTGCCTAGTGCAGTGTCCTGGGTGTGTGACTGAGGGACTGCCTAGTGCAGTGTCTTGTGTTCGGGCTGATGGACTGCCTAGTGCAGTGTCTTGTGTTCGGGCTGATGGACTGCCTGTGTCTTGTGTTCGGGCTGATGGACTCCCTACCCTTTCGGCCGATCTTGGCCCTTTTATGCAGCTGGCGATCGCACCTGTCTTTGACCCGGAAATAATTAATTATTGCTAACGTATGATTATTGGGTGGCAATAATTGTGGAAAGTGGGTCGAAGTTGGGTGCTTCGTTAACAATTTGCTAGTGGGTCAGAAGTGTTTAGGAAAAGGTTTTGCTGAGACTGCATCGCAGTCGGTGCGGGCTGCAGTTGGGAATTGGGCTTAGGATTGATTTTGCTAACTCGGCATCGCGGAAGGTGATAGCTGAATTTGGGCCGGTAGGTCGATAATTTTATGCTGGCTTGACTTATTGTGAAATAACGCAAATGATATTTCTTATGTAGGCCGTTGATTGCGAAATTTCCCAAGACGTGGGGTGTTTTAAATTGTTGTGTGGACAAGAAAGTGTAGAGTTGTTGATCGAGAGTTCTTAATTAATTGTGTGCGTTGCTTAAGACTATTTTATTATTATATTGGTAGTTCTTTGTCTAGGCATTCTTGAATCGGCGGTGCTACGTCGGGTGGCCAAGGATCCGTGGGAAGTTCTGGCTCGTCTTCGGTGGGTTCTGTGGTCAAAGGTTTGATTCGGGTCTTTCGGCGGGATGGGTCTGTCGAATGTGCTGGACGGTTCGATCCTCCGATCGTAATCGCTTATGTGGGCGATGATCGGGGAGGCGTTGGACGTGGGTAGAGTAGTTTTGTAGCTCTGGTGGAATACTTGGGTGGTGTTATCTCTAGACTGGTGCATGAACTGTCTGGTCACGACGATGTCTCTTTTGTTGGACCAATGGCTTGTTTGGGCGACGAAAATTTCGGACATGACTCTAGGCATGGCTCGGTGCATGGGGCTAGGAGTCACGTCGGTAAGCGGAAGGTACTCCAATGTCTTGGCGAAGATCTGTTAAGCGTCGGCCGTTGTTTCGAGAGGGCGGCGGTCGGTATATCGTAGGCTTATCGTATTTTGGTATGCCGGGTGTAGTACTCGTGTTATACTACAGCCAGACTGGTACGTGAACAGGTGAGTCGCGATGACGCCTCTGGTATCGCAGCAACGACTTGTTTGGGCGACGAAGATCTCGGACATGGCTGTAGGCATGGCTCGTGGCATGGCTCGTGGCATGGCGCTAAGAATCATGTCGGTACGCGGAAGGTACTCCATTGTGTTGGCGAGGATCGGTGTGGCGTCGGCCGTGGGTACGACAGGGCGGTGGTCGGTGCATCGTGGGGTCATCGTCCTGGTTTCTGGGCCCGCGTTGAGGGGTCCTGTGGATATCAGTTCGATTATGGGCCCCGACCAGCGTGGTGATGCTGATGGTCGGTTTTGAGGGTGTCCGTGCGTTCAATTCTTCCGTTGTGGATTCTGTGCGTGCTTGCTCTGTTGCTTGTCTTGGACCTGGACCTGTGTCGAGCGCCGGGTTCAAGTGTGTTTGTCTCGTGTGTGAGATCCTCGTGGTTTGTTTGGGATGCTTGTTCCCTGTTGTAGGCCTAGGACGCGGTTGCTCCGTAGTGACCGTGGGCCTCGTTTTCCCGATTGCTTGGTTGCTGTTTGCTGGTGTTGACCTTGGATTCGTGTTCTCCGTAGTGTGTCGTTGCTTCGTATTCGTTGCGATTGGTTTGGGTGTCAAGTGCTGCGTGGCGTTATTGGGTGCCGTGTGCGTTGTGGTAGGTCGTGGACGTGGGTTCGTTGCGATTTGTTGGGGTTTCTGGTATCGAGGTTCGGCGTCTTGTACGTGGATGGTTGTAAGCACGGGTTCAGTGGGCATGGGGTGACGGTCTCGTAGCTGTAGCAGCGTGGAGCCGCATTGGATCGTCGTTTCGGTGGCACCTGGGAAGTCCATGCCGACAATGACTTGTTCCAACATGTTTGGCAGGACCAGGAGCGGGATTTGAACCTCTCGTTGATCCAGCTTGATGTGCGCCAGTAGAACTTGTGAGATCTCTCTGACCGAGCCATCGGCCAGGCGTATGCGGACGCATGCATCTTGCAGGTTGGTGTTGTTGTCTAGTTGTCGAGCGAGGTTTGCGCTGATAAAGCTTCTGGATGCCCCAGTGTCGATTGTGGCTTCCGTTGCGTATCCTCCTATGCTTACCATCGCCACTATCCGGCCGTTGCTTACGTGTAGAGAGTTATTTAGTCGCGGGTTGGAGGAGGCGTCGTTCCCGGCTGATCCCGTGTCAGTTGGGGACGCATGTCGTTTCCCAACGTATTCTGGCGGCAGTAATCGACGGTCCGTGTGCCGCGTTTGCCACATTCCCAGCAGAATAGGATCGAGGGACTATGGCAGTCGTATGCCGCATGCCCGGCTTCACCACACCGGCGACAGGCGGTGCG